GGCGATAGCTTGCAGTGATCAAGAAGCATTTAAACAGAGGATTCTGCTAAGGCCGCCCAGCAACGGCCAGCAGTACAGTCATCAGAAACTCAGACTGCACTTAATAGTTGTTTAGGGTTTAGGGTTCTAGGTTTTATAGGGATGCTGGAAAAGGAGATGGAAACTACTACAAAGGGGTTATATACGGTTTAGGGTTCAGGGGTTCTTCCAGGCACTTCTGCTTGTCCGGTTGGTCCATTATTTGCAGTATTTGATGTTCGGAATCTTGTAAATCCTACACCCCATACCCCAAACCCTAAACCCTAAACCCTAGACCCTAAGCCCTAAACCCTAAACCCTAAAACTCGCTTGTGCAAGGCAGTATATACCGGGAACGGAGTACTACACCCCGCCATCGGCGCCAGATCCAAGTCCGGTCCCAATTGTCATGGGTTTAGGGTTTAGGGTTCAGGGTTTAGGGTTTAGGGTGGGGCAATTCGCAAAATTGGGGTACCCTTTTGGTAACCCTAAGTATTTGGTGCCGTAATAAAATCTATAACCAAAAGGAGCCCATAATTTCGAGAACTACCCGTATATATATATATATACACACATCAAAACGTATAGTATGTGCATTTAGATATGATACTGTATGCTACACATCATATACTGCTTGTATTGTTATGTGTGTATATACAATCTGCATCACAGGGTAGGTTGTGAAGATATCTGTGAAGATCATGGTCCCTTCTGGGTCCCCATCGTACGGCCCCTAAAGTTCAGGGCATCCAAGAAGGGATCATAAGTTTGAGGACCCCCTGCTTACAAAGAACAGATGCGAAGCAGCAGCACATTCAACAGGCAAGACCGTGGATCTATCGGGGCATAGCAGCGCAAGCTACTCGACTCCGCAGTCGCGCGCTCAAGGCATTTCGTAGGCATGCCTGTTGTGTGCAGTCGCGCAGTGCAAGGGGTTTTGCAGATGCATTTGTAACTCTAACGCCGCAGTTACCTTCATATGGGATTCTGGATCCTATGTTACATGGCCATGTCGTCTACTATCTAGGTACCTAGGAACCCTAGGGTAACAGTTGAGTCAACTTGCTGCGCTGAAGTGTTCGAATTTGATGTGGGGGCTTGGGAGCTTTGTGTTGAGGCCCGGTCCTAGCTTTCGGCCGTCCAGCGGCCCTAGCAGCAGGTGGCTTTCGGCTGTTCAAGTTTCTAGTTGAAGGTTCATGAATAGCTATGACTAGGGTTATAAGTCCCCCCAAACTAACGTACAACTATAGATGTCCTACTTACAAGCCCCAGTAGAGCCCTAAACCCTAAACCCCAAACCCTGAACCAGCTACTCATGGACCTTCAAGTAGTTTGGGGCCATGTCAAATGGTAGTTTCCCAAAATAGGGGGATCCCAATAAAGACCTCAAAATACCATAGTCCGTATTATAGGGGCCCCCAAAAAGGTACCCCTAAACCCTAAACCCTAAATCCTACACCCCTAATTTTGGGAAAATCCCAAATCATCCCGCAGTTACGCTGCCAGCAGCAGCACGGGCTTTGGATCATCTTCCCGAGGACCGACTAGCCTGGAAGGAGGCGCCCAGTCAATTTAGGGTTTAGGGTTTAG